CACCTGTGAATGAATATATGAGACTTTGGGGAGACATTTAAGATCTAAACCATAACACTCTGTGTCATTAAAAAGTTTGTGTCATTAAAAAGGTTTTTTGCAATAAAATGTGTTCATATCAGCTTTTTTTAAAGCCCTGATTTTTATCCAGATTCTTCCATGATTTTCTGAAATACCGAGACCCCAATTTTCTTCAAAATGTTTTTGTGTCATTTTCTTCGTTTTAGGCAAATGAAATTTAATATGGTCCAATACCATGTAACCTGAAATATTTTTAAAATACAAATAAAATGAGCAATACAATGAAGAATTATTATATTTTATATATGAAATTTGCAAGACAATTTGTCACATGTTCTAACTTGGTAGATTTAGACTCATAAGACTTGGGATCCAGCCCCTGCTAAACCATTTAAGAAACACACTTTGGACAAAATGTAACCTCCTTCAATCTGTTTCCACTTATTTAAAACAATTATAATAACTTTACTGATATGCTAGAACTGTTGTAAATATAAAATAATAATGAATGGAAAATATAAAAACAATAATAAATTATATTTGTACTAGGAGTATTGACAGTAATAATAATTATATTGTTTTGATTATTAAATGACTTCAGATATGTATATTTTAGATCCTCCAAGGAGATTCTATGTTGCTAGCATATGCAAATTCTGTCAGTAATGTAAGAGCTCCACAAATAGTTGTTCTCCGGTTCATTAATTCATCTTGTTCAAAAACACATTTTCATTAGTAGGATAATGGTATATGTAAACTGGGGGGATTATAACTGATTCCTCAGAATAACAACCAAGTGTACACTTAGTTTATTTATTTCAATTAAAGCTGATTATTGAGTTACTTATGTTGAACCCTCCATGATAAATGTAGTTTTCTTTTAAACTTCTAAAATGTGAAACAAACCATTAGTCTTTTTATGAATCAATGAGAAATACAGAAAACAGTTTTTACTCTCCAAATATTTTCTAAGCTACTATTAAGGAGATTTGCAGCATGAACATAAAATTAAAATATGTTCTATGGACAATTGAAAAAATATGAAACATCCTGTCATAAAGCAATGAATTAAATCATATGTGTTTTAATTACAACAAGTTTTAATAAAAGCTTACGTAACAGCCGAATTATTTAATTTTATTTCTCTAACATGAATGGTATTTTCAAAACAGTGTTTGGGTGTAAAGTAGTATCATTCAACACATTTAAACTATGATTTGTGTATATCAAATCATTTATTTTTTGTGACATCAGATTGGTAGGTCTTTATTTTGTACAAGGGGTGATTAGAAGTCACAGCAAATATTTAAATTTAAGAAACGAATTTGTTACGTTAAAAGACACATTATCAAGAATGATGGCATAAATTTGTTAGAAGTGAAGGGGAATGTTTTAAGCATTGCTAGAGAGGTTAAGGCAAAGTTTCTTTTACTTGAATACATTTTTATATAAACATTCACTGTATGTTTTGATCATCCCTCATTGATCAATTTTTGTTGAATAAAAATATTATTATGTGTCCTTATGCACCTTATTCACCAGATCTGGGGCTTTGTATCTGCTGCATTTGCCTCAAAGTCAAAAAGACCATGAAATGTGAGACTCTGAGCTGATTCAGGACATTGAGGCAGCCACAGCAGCGCTACTATAGACACTTACGAAAGAAGATTTCCAGAACGGCTTCAGAAAGCGGCGAGAACAAATGGCAGCGTGTCTTTTGCTATAATGATTTTTCACATTTAAACTTCTGCAATATATTTTGATCATATGTGGTACCTAAACTCCACTGAGTCATATATTACACTTAAAAAAATTAACCATACAAAGGGGGATGGTTGTAGTATAGTTATTCAGCATCATAATGTAAAGAGGCTGAGAGAAAAAGGTTCTTATAAATAGGCTAATCCTTGGATCCTGACAAGATTACACAAAGATTTCTCCAGGCAGATGATCAATTAGTTTCTTTAATAATATCAGATTTTGTAATTTAGAAGCCCATTAAAGAATGGAGACTGTTATAGGTCTAGAAATACCCAATGTGAAGCAACTACCACACACTTTTAAGGGATGACTTACTCTAGAAAAAGCTAGAGGAGTTCCTGAGAAGAAATCTACTCCATCCTAGACAAATGCATTCCAAATCATATTTTTTTGGAGCTTTGGATGAAATAAGAGTATACTATATTATCCAGTTATCTCCATGACCTCTCACACTTACTCTGAGAAACTTACATTTTCTATTTTGGATTTTCATTTTTCCTAATGAAGTTGAAGATCACTGACCATATTTTAGGCTCTAAAATACAGCAATAACTAAAGTCCTATATAAAGCACATGACTATCTTATCTCAAGCTTTTACTTTTCCAAATGAAATAACTCTGGTTTCATTACCCTTCTTCAGAGATAATCTAACCGTAGAGCTGAAGCAGCCTACAGTGAGTACCAAGTCCTATACGGATATGTCTCTGTTCAAACTCCACCAACTTTACCCACAAAACTACATCTGAGTGGAAACTCAACACAAAGGAAATAAAAACAAAGCTCCATAATATTCACTTGCATTGTATGAAATGGATCAGTCACCACAGTTTTCTGAGGTTTACTGTAGCTGTGTCTGAAACTTTCACTTTTGTAAGTCAAAAATTATCTTTTGGAAGTCAGAAAGCTTATCATTGAAAGATTTAGCATACATAGTGTTAGAACATTTTTGATACCACGTAGAAGCCCAGTACTTTCTTCCTTGTTCTACTTTATGTATGTTTTACAATTAGGCAGATGGTACCATAAGTTTACAAAGTTTGATTCTATATAATATGTACTATGAGCATATCAAATTAAGTCATTAAAAAAACCTTCTCATATGTAAATCAAGTAAGACGCTCATTCTCTACTAAACCATAAACCGACATATGTAAAAATCATAAATGAAGGAGCCAGGCATAAAATAAAACACAAGATTAAATTCAAAACAATACTGTTACTTTGCATCACAAAAATGTGTGCACTGACAATGGTATTGTGGGAGAAAAGATTGATGGGTAAAAATCAGTGCCTACGATGAATGTAATATTACTAATACAGTTTTACCTGCAAGAGATTTTCTGGCTTTGATTCAATGAAATCCGTTATCCTAGGTGGTAATGGAGCCCTGCATGCTACTCACCTCAGTCATATTTAGTCCCTGAGCAGCATCAAAGCCTTGATATAATAAAAGGTCAAGCAAATCGGACTAAGCATTTATAAACTACCCCCTCCATTTCAACTACAAACCACACATTCTCCTGCTAAGCCCTGTTCACTCCCTTTCATTGTATAAGCAGGCTAATTTGGAAATGGCTTGCCTAAGGTACTAGAGAACACCTCGATTTTCAAAATAATCCTACTTTTCTACTTAATCACAGGAACAGACCTATCACAACATTTGAAAGAACTGTAAAATGGTGTCTCAATACTAAAGGAATGAAGAGCCAACAGCAACACTATTCAACAAAATGAATGCATTTTACCTTCCAGCTCAGTTGTGCTGCCTGAGATACAAGGTATAAACATGAAAAGGTTGGAGTGTAATTTCAAGAAAAACGCTTCATTTCATCATTCATTTGCAAGATGCTGGATGTAAAATAATAATACAAGCCACCTCCCTTTCCCAGCATTTTAAATCCGAGGCCCTTGATATCACTCCTCACAAACCCAATTAAAAATCAAGAAACAAGCTATGAATGCACATCTAGCTGGGTAATAAAGATCAAATCATAGACATCTGTCCTAATTGGTCACAATGAAACTAAGAGACAATAAGGAGACTAAACCTCACATTAATCGAAATGAAGCCAATGAATAATAATACAAACCAGAAGCATAGTTTCAAAAATATGCAAATACTTCCGAGCATGCAAGGACATTTATAACCCGTAAAAATGACAGTAAAGGAATCACATGCTGCATATAAATATGCTTCACAAATGTGATATAAATTCTAAGTAACACACACATATATAATATGAATAACCACACGGTGTATATGTGTATGTTCACAACCAAATCTATGTGCAAAAAAATGAAACTCTGACTCTGGAATGGTTTTTCAACAAGAGTACATCAGAAGATGCTATAGAATGCTGGATCCTTGGGACCCTTAGCAAAACCAGCTTAGAATTAGGCCAGGAAGACTGAACCACCGAATGTGTTTCTGAGGAAGGCCCAACCCTATTTATGAGAGCTGCAAATGAAATGATTCCTTTCACAACACCCTTTTCTTGTTGTGAGCTCTTTTTCCACCCCCTGATTTTGTCGCTAAGCTTGAGAGGAAAGGAATCAAGTGGCTCAGTCTGTATTCTGAGCCAATTTGCAATAAAAATTAGACCCCCAATTTTCTTTAAAAACACAAGCAGACGCCTTCTCACTTCTCCCTTTCTGGTAACCTTGGTCTCCCTCCATCCTCAGCTCTGTCACCACATCTCCCCCTCCTAGTCTGAGAGACAGGAGTCATTGTTTAAGTCCAGGCCGCAAATGTGCACACAAGTCATTTAACAACGAGCTAAAGGTAGCCTGCTGCCTCCCACTCACCACGCTGAGAGCCAGAGGAACTGCTGAAAGGAGGGAGAGATGCAAACAGAATCCATTTTCCTCATGACCAAGTTGGATGCAGCCTCAAAACCCAACATCAGCAGCGGTCGCCGGGATTTTTTTTTTTTTTCCTCCAATCTCTGGCTGGCGACAGGGCGAATAGGAACCACCCTTCCAGCTCCTCTAGAGTATCAGCAGTAGAGGCGGCGGCAGCAGCGGCTGGAGCGAGGCAGGCAGCATCACCACTGAGGCCTCCTCCCTCTTGGAGGATGGGGTGAGCTCCCAAGCAGCCAGGAACTTGCAGCAGACATCTCCTCTGGCTCCTCCTTTCCTTCCCCCACCTCACGGCCCCACCCCTGCTGCGGAAGAGGCTGCCGGCTAGGCAGCTGCTGGTTGTCATGGCAATGACCAATGGCGAGCAGCGGGCTAAGGAGGAGGGGATGAGAGGAGGGGTTGAGTGGGATCGGAAGGGGAGGGGGCACAGTGAGCAGCCTGGGCTGGAGGGCAGTGAAGTTGAGCGGCAGCCTCTGAGGTGCTGCTGGTGTCTCCTACCCTGGATTCCAGGTCGTTCGAGGTGGGGCAAGGCGGGGACTGGGGGCGGGGTTGGCAAAGGAAGAGAATAATTAGAAATTTAATAGAAATCCAGTTTGAAATATATCAAACAGCTTAGCTATAGCTTTTACATTTTCTAGAGCTTTCCAATAAATTGTTAAATTTGCAATCAGAAAAAACAAGAATACAAGTAGAAAAACTTAATTCGTGTGATAGGTGAATATTAGGCACATTTGTTTGCCCTTGATGGCATCTTTTAGGTAATGCTACTCAGGATTATTGAAGGCAAAATGAATGGCTGGACGCTGCAATACAGTGACAGGCCAATTCTTTTGCACTATTGAGGATTTGCTCTCAGGTGAGCTGCTTGACTTCACCTTTGAAGAGGACCTGGAGTTGTTGAGGCAGCCCTGGAAAAAGCAGTTTGGAAACCAGGAACCCGACATTTCTTTGAACCAAGATTCTCAGCAGCACCAGTAGGTGGACAGTTCCCTGTCTCTTTAGTGTCAGACTCGTAGAGCATTCAACAACCCGCTGGCGATTCCACGCTATTTTCACGGATGCCCTTTTGGAACTCAGAAGCCAGTTGGCAGTCAGGGTCGTAGGGAGGGAAAGGGAAAATGCAGTCAGCAGTGATGAGCTCTAAGCACGTTGCATTTTACTATAAATTATAGATAACACTGGATTTATCTCATGCAGCAGTTGTAAAGATTGTGATAATGCACTAAAAGCATTTGGCTTGCAATAATGTACACTAAATACTATTATCACTCCTATTAGTACTATAGTAGTATCTTGCAGTGATCACTTAATCTAAGGTTTTAGGGGAGAGCATGGCATCTCAGGTAAAAGAAAAAGTTAAGGTGAAAACACTAAATACATGACAGTCATGATGCCATGATGATGGTAGTGGTGGTGTCCTGGAGATCCTAAGAGATGACATGTCCTCTTAAACATGACAGTTGATGATATGGTAAACCTTGCAGGTGTTACATTTCCCAAATTTACATGCTTATTAAAACTGACTCTCCTAACAAGACCATTTACTACTGTAATCATTAAACTCTCTACAGTTCCGCCACAGAGTACAGAAAATCTTTGTTCTTAACATGTAGTTATTTTCAAGTTCATCTGGGATTACACATGGCACAGCCAGCCTAAATTCTAATTTTGGTGCTAATATATAGTAAAGACATGTTTTAGATCAACTTCATGGACTCCCCTGAACCTATGTGTCTTTGTCTGTAAGGTGGAAGCATGCACAGACTCCTATGAGTTACTGTAAAAATTAAATGAGAGTAGCTGTGCAAAGCATTAGCAGACTGTGTAGTGTCTAGCAAGTGTTCAGTACATCTTGACTATAATTGCTGGTGCTCTTTCAGAAGTGATAAATATGAAAGCAAGAGAGAACTTCTTTCCTGAGTGGGGTCACTCGATGCCAGAGATTTATTCTGACAAAACTGATTGGAAAGTGACCAAGTGGTCCAGAAAAGGGCATTGATCCTGCCTTAGGGTCCCACTCGCTCATTTTCTTTCTATGTCCGTGGAGCACTATTACTATTGATAGTAATGTTCTTTAAATATTCATTTAAAAAATAAATAGTTATTTTTGTGATTTACTTTATTTGCTACCAGTTTATGGTTTTGAAATTTGTCTCCAGTAGTAAAACATAAATTAAAATTAGGAGGTTAAAGAGATTGGCCCCAGAGAAACAAACTGAACCCCAATCATTAACATTTTTCTTTTTCATAAAACAGAAAAATTTATTATAACTTTTAACTGAGAAAATTTAAATTTTTACTCCTCTACTATTTTACCATGCTTTATTTTTTCACATGGTATGTAAATTATATATAATTGTTATATTATAGTGTAGTGTTTTATATATAAAGTATGACATAATTTAATATATGAAAGCATATTATATAATATAATGCATAATATACCATGTAATAGTCAAAATATACTATATTATTTGTGCTTTTAAAATTTTTGTAATTCAAGTTTTCCAACTAGAATTTAAGCTATAAATAGTAAGCATTTTTGCTTACTCTGTCTTTATTTGTGACCAGTGTTGGCCTTGTTAGTTGCTCATAAGTGTTTGCTGAAGAATAAACAAGTAAATAAATAAAATAAGAAACATATTAACCCATGTCTGTGTGTTATTAAATACTACTTTGTCCTTTATATATTTTATACTTCTCATAATTAAAAAAGATGATTACATTATCTTATTAAGCATGTATACCTATTACCATAATGTCCATCAACCATCGATTTTGAAAATTGCTGTTAAAATTAAAATGCTTACTGTTTTATACTCAAAATGTGTAGCACGTCCTCACTGGTGTACACGGTGCTCTTTAGGAAATGCCTGCTTCCTTCTAGCAGCTTCTTGCCCAATAAAACAATGGTGACCAGATCATCTACCTCTATAGGGGCTTTTCTAGCGTGAAATTTGAACTCTTCGAGAATCTGAAAAAGTACAGGGTGTGGATCTTGGCTCAAAAACAGCATTAAAATTGCAGATGATGCCACAGCAAAGTGGGAGGAAGCTGCTCAGTGTGGGTTTGGGAGACTGACTTCCCGGATTGATCTGTGCTATGCTAGTTATTTTCTGAGTGACCTTGACAATTTGCTTAAACCTCCTCCGCCTTGGTTTCTTCACCTACATGGTATTATTTTACACTTACTCCATAGGGTGGTGTTATGTTGAAACTCAAAGTTGTTTGTGTCAAGTACTAAGGAATATTTACCATGTGATAAGAATAAGTTCATATCCTTATTTTAATAACTACAGTGTTATACAGTGCATGTTTCTAGATTGTCCACTCGGTTCACTTGCGGCTGTTCTGAAACCTTGCTGTAATGCTTGTAGATCTGCTGTCAGCAGCCTGGAGAAATTCTGGTGTTTCTCACAGAGACAGGCAAATGCTCTTGTTTTCCCAAAGAAGGGACCAAAAGCAAGTTCATATATGACTGTTGTTTATCTTGTCTGTAAAAGTTTATTAGCACATCGTGTATTTATAAAGAACATTAAATGTAAGCTGTAAAGCTGTGCTTGAGTTGACTAAGAATAAGATATGATTGTGATCCCACTACATGTCCTTTACTGACAGTATGAGTGAGCAAGTGTGTTGGAACTCTCGTGTGAGCTCTCTGTTCCTAACACATATGGTAACTCCCTGCATAGCAGTGTAACGCTTTTGTCTTGGGGTCATGGTTTTGATGAGTGTCCCCCAAAGGCCCATGTGTTCCAGGTTTGGTCCTCAGGGTGGTAAATCTGGGAGATGATGGAAATTTTAAGAGGCGCAGTCTAGAAAAGGGTCTTCAGGTAAATCCATTGAGAACATGGTCTGGAAGAAGATGGCAAAAACTTGATCTCTCTCTCTCTCTTTCTCTCTCTCTCTCTCTCCTGAGAAATTAGCTCTACCACTCTTTCTCACTATTCTATATCAGGAATCCATAGCAATTTCAGGCCATGTAGCATTGGACTGGACCCTCTAGAATCATAAGCTAAATAAAACTTCTCTTTTCATAAATTAATTGCCTCAAGTATTTTTTCCTACAAATTTGTTGAAAGATTCTACCTCCTTCACTTCTCAAAACACATAAACACACTAGCTCCTTCCTCTGTTTCTTTTCTTTCATTTGGAGGATTAAGTTTTGTCAGTAACTAAGGACTTAACATGCTGTATGAGATGGAAAGATGAAATCAACAGAATAAACTTCTTACAGTAGAAAAAGAAATATGATGTTGGCAATGACTACTGCTCAATTAGCTTCATTAAATAAAATTTACATGAAAGTTTTACATGCAAAACTTTGCTCCAGTGCAAAAACTGACTTAGTGGCAGACATCATGTGCACTTAGGTTAAAAAAAAAATTATCAAGGACACCAAAGAAATCAGAAAAGTGTCTGGTTCAATGAACTTTTTTATAATCAGAAAATCTAGAAATATGCCAGATCAATCTCAGTTTAGGTGCTAGATTTATTCAAGTTGTAGTATAGTTTTTTTTTTTAGAAATATATGTGAAACACCATACGTTTCATGATTTTTGTACTTACTTATTTTAGGATTCAAAATGTCTTATTACAACCCCAGGAATAAGAACATAAGCCCTAATGTACAAAAAAGCACATGTTCCCTTTAGCAAACAAGGAATAATTCCTAATTTGTAAAACCTGTAGGCTACTGGATGAGACAGCCAGAAAAAGATCATTTAAAAAACTTATCAAATTTGTGGCAAATTGTCTTAAGTGCTGTGAATTAATGAAAGAATGTAAGGACCAGGAATGGACCGAGGGAGAATGACTATGATATGATTTAACTCATGATATGATTTACTATATGTTTCTCCTGTAAGAACAATGCCAATGGGCTGGGGATTTAGCTCAGTGGCATAAGCACCTGCCTTGCAAGCAGGTGGTTGTGAGTTCGATCCCCGCTACTGATAAATAAATAAATAAATAAATAAAAACAAGAATAATTTGAAGATAAAGAAAGCCAGAGTGAAAAGTATTTTTGAAGACAGGAGCAAGTGAAACATATCTGTTAAGGATGAAGTCGGGATGAAGGAAAGTTGGGAATGTGGTCAGGGCACCTTGTAACCCACTGCGTGGTAACTGCTTTACTTAAATCCAGTGAAGAGCCACTGTTGCAGGGCAGGTGTTTCACTGTAGCTGTAAGAATTCTGGGAAACCCTGCGGTAAGTCAAAGTGGGTGAAGTTAACATGCCATGATCCTCTAAGCTGTTGAAGATAATGATTAGGTTAGGATGGTAAAGTTGATGTAAAATTGGACCGTTTCAAATACATTTTAGAGATGAAATTGTGAACACTTACCAATCAATTAGATCTTAGAGTCAAGGAAGAGGGAAGCATCAAAGATTACTTCTAAGAAGCTAACTCCTTTCTGCCATGTAACAGGCTATACTATCATACTTCAATTTTGATCTACTATGCTGAGGAATGGCCTCAGAGATCTGAATACAGAAAATTATCCAGAAACTTGAAAAGTGTCTAAGCACTCAGTTTGCAGGTCCCTCTTCTCTGCTTCCTCAGGCTTGGTGCCTTTAAGAATTCAGCATTGGTGACCAACTGATACGTCATCATCTCTGTGCTGAGCTCATGCTCCTGCCAGAAAGCAATGTGCCTGAGAAGTCTAGGTGAGGCCTCCAAGAAACACTAGGAGTTTCGTCCTTAAAATGCCCAAGGGCTTGAAAAGTGGGTGCAAACCAGAAATGGCCTTCCTCTTCTCTGGGTGTTTGGGCAGTGTTCCCTTCCTCACCTAGCTTGTTTTTTTTCTCATGTTGTCTGTCATCCTGCCACCTTTATATCATTGACCTTGTAGCCATATCTTCTGTCTGCCTGACTATCCTCATCTATGAAGAAGCTAGGATAATAATTTTCCTTATCTACTAAGTGGATTATGTTTATAAAGACTTGCGCATATACCTGGCATGGGGAAGAGTGTTTGTGAATCCCAATAGTTTCACTCTGTAATCACCTCCTCCATATCTGATCCTTTCTCATAAAACTCTTGAAAATCTCAGTCATTTCCTTCGGGGTTCCAAGTTTTTTATATAAAATTTTAGCATCTATCATCTTAACAACCCAAAATTGTCCCTTAGGTGACCAAACAGCTGACCACTTATTTTCCACTGAAAGACTTGCCAGGTGCAAGGGACTGGTGGAAAAACACCTCTCAGAAAGTGGAGCCTACAGATTTCATGGTCTGTTTCACATATTTATGAGCCAGCGTTCAGAAATATTCATATCCTCTATTTACTTTTTATTACTATTTGATTTGTTTCTTACAGTTGATCTGAAGTGTGAAATTGGAAGCCTTAAAAGTTTGCCAACAGTTCCATGTTAGAAAGTCAGGAGATTTGAGAATTGTGGATATTGAAACACTTCTCTACCAAGGATGAAAACAAAACAAAACAAAATCACTTGTGTGACAAATGCATCCAGCTACGGCCACGTTGCTTCCTCCTGGGACTCTTTTAAAATGACCCTCACTCTACAAGCTGATGGCCTCTACTAGGGTGTCAAAAAAATTGCTGCCCTGGATCAAGTCAGTTTGATACTGAATGAAGAGAATGAAAGAAATACAAGACCGAGCCCAGAGAGAGCCATTAGACTTCGGGAAAGCAGCCTACTTCATTTTGACCCTTCCAAGCTTCTTTTCTTTTTATCTCAAGTCCAAAATCCTTCCTTTTTCTGTTTTCATTTCTTCCAATAAATTTATTAAATTTTAATAAGTCCAAATCTGTCTGTGAAATAAATCTATAAAACTTTCAACTCTTCTTGGAATACAATTCTCAAAAACGATAAAATCAGGACACTTAGGCAAATGTAATATTATTATTATTTGATAATTGGATGTTAAAACTTGTCCAAAGAGCACTTGAGAAGCTAGATATTTATACACAAAATACAAATAAACAAGAATGACTTTTCTTGTAGAATCTCACTAAAATCTTCAGCTCTGAGATAAAACACAATGCACAAGATTAATCTTTATGCCCTGTATTACTCTCACCATCTTGTTTTTGACTGATGTCCCCCTATTCTGTTTTGCTTGATAGTACCAGGTTCGAAAGTTTAGGCAACAGCTGTGAAGATAGTGAGATTCATTATGACGCCCATTCTCATTGACTATTATCTACTTTTGAAGACCTATAATGTCTCCAATGTTTTGGTTTTGTCGGTTTTGTTCTTTACTGTTTTGTTCAATTTTATTATAACTAATGATATAGGCAATTCTATTAGAGATAGCGGGAGGCACTATGGTAACCATTGTTGATCACCTTGTATTATGCTTTTACATTATCTATTATGTCCACCCTTTTGATTTGACTGACTGTTCTGTTATGTCACATTTGGTTCTACTCCCTTCCAAAAAAGTAATAAGAACTGTGGGAGCAACAAAACCCAAAATGTGTAATTGTCATTGTACAAAAGAGAGGAAAAGAAAGTGCTTTAAATGATATAACTGCATGTATATTTAAGTGTATAAGATAGATAATGATATCACTGAGTTTTGTTGGATCATTGAACAGAACTGTTTGCAGTCTGTTGGAATGTCCACTTTACAAGCTTTAGTTTTCTGACTTGAACAATTATTTCTAAGATGACAATATGTAATCCATTAACTAGTGATTTTCTACTGTTTATTTTTTTCTGTAAATCTGTATAACTTGTACCCTTTCTCTGCTTTTTTTTTCTCCTTAAATAAAATTTTTAAAAAAATTAATCTTCATGACCATGTATAAATTCAGGTAATGGTGACTTTTTTTGTAAATAACAATAGCCAGGTTTGGTGTCACATGAATCAGCAGATCAAATGGAAATTAATCTATTTTTTTTTCTTGAGAAAAACCTCAGATGAGATTTAAGGGCACAATAATCTGATACTAAAGTCAGAAATGAAATTTCATATTTTTTATCCTAAAAAAATTTCATATTTTTTATCTGCCAGATTATTGACTCTCATCCAGTTAATTACAACATGCCCACACTGGGGTTCTTATATCATTGAAATCTTTATTTCTCAAGATATCCTCCCACGTTACTGCAATATTCATGGCAGAGAGATAAACAACTTAAACAGAACCAAAAGAAGAAGAAGAAAAAGAAGAAGAAGAAGAAGAAGAAGAAGAAGAAGAAGAAGAAGAAGAAGAAGAAGAAGAAGAAGAAAGAGGAGGAGGAGGTAGAGGAGGAGGAGAGGAACAGGAAGAGGAGGATGAAAAAGAGAAGGAGAGAGGAGAATGATGTTTCCAGGTAATAGGTGCAGCTAGCCTTGAGCCTTCTTGAGGCAGTCATACTAGGCGTTGGGTGTCCTGTACTTTACATAGAAGATCCATCTGGCTCAGCGCTTGCATACAAAGGGACCAGCTAATTCTGGTCTGATGGCCCTTCTAAAAGAAAGTAGAAAGAACTCTCACTTCACTGAAAGCGCTTCTTGCAGAGGGGAAAGAACTTTCTCCTTCTCAAAAGGGCAAAAGGCAGAAGAGGGCATGACTTTCCCTAGCCTTAAAGGGACAGCTGTATATGTTTTCTTGGTAAGGATCAAAAGCAATCAGCAGGGCAAACACTGTGTTCTGGAGGAAATGAAGATTCCTGCAGAAGGTGGGAGGCACGCCGATCATGTGTGCGGTGCATCCCGAAACAGCAAGCCCTGTTTGGTGGCACTGAAATAAGGCGAGTCTGAGAAGGGGGCGCCAAAGGCTGCAGTGATGCTTTCTCTCCTGTAACAATCCCTTGGGGACTGTTAAAGAAATAGGGCAGCAGAGGACTCAGAAGGCAATTGGGAAGTATATTGAATAGGACTGAGGCCTTTCGGTGTGAGTAGGTGAGGGATCATTTGTTTACATAGGCAAGCCAGGGTCCAGCCTATGTAGTTATAGAGTGAGTTGTTATTTTCAAGTTCTGTACCTGGTCTCTCGCAGCTTCCCTGCAGACAGACAAGCTGGGAGTGCGCTGTAGAGATGGAATGGGGTACCAAGTCACAGGCTGGTCCCTAGTCTGACTCCTCACGCTTCATTTCCTCTACATTAAAGCACACAACCGTGATTGAAATTGTGACTTTTGCTTGCACAATTTGCTCATACCTAAATTTCCTGTTAATCTATTTTTTTTTCATGAAGAAAGATTTTCTTGAAACACAAGTAAAGGAGGAATTTTTGCTTCGTGACTGGTCTAGGGGTGTCTTGCAGAGGTCAGTTCAGAGCCCAAGGTTTCACAATTCTCATTATGTTCAACACTGATAAACTGTGGCTCCCACCTCTTTCTTTAAATGGTGGCTACTCTTACAAGGCCTGGAACTCTGTGGTTATTCACTTTTCTCTGTGAAGTTAGTGTACAGACACAATGGAGCCCAGAGCAGAGTGGGTCTCAATGTCATGTACAATATCCTGACTCCAGAAACCCTGAAATTTTTACAGGATAATACAGAAAAATGGACCAGACCCTTTCCCAGAACACTGAGAGTTTGATCTGCTGTGGGAGGAAAGTGTGGTATTCAAGACTGTTCTGTTGTTGGATCCTGCTCTTGCCTCCTGAAGGACCTCATATTTAATAATGCTATGAAAGGTGAGTTAAACTTCTTTACCTGGCTCTCATACTACTCTACATGAGATTTTTCAAAGTCATTACTCAAGAAGCAATTAAAAATTTCACTTCTTTCCACAAGTCCAGATAGTTCAATTTCCAAGCTTTTCTTGTTTTATCTATAATCATCAAACTATTGAATACCCAGAAAGAAAGAAGAATTCATTACCGGCTTATGATTATTTGCATGGATTCCCAACAAGATACAATTTGCCTTTGTAGCATTGGATACTTTTTAAATATAAAAGCAAGAGATATGGCATATTGTTTCTCATGCAAATTCCTTAGTAATTTTTGAGATTTTCTGGTCTTTATAACAGAGTAGATCTTTACTCTGTATTTCAATACATTGTAATGACTAACGACTTAATACTTAATTATCAAGAATTAGAAGGTGTGGTGAATCAGGGAAAACAGAGCTCTAGTATTTTCTCCACTTTAATATGCATCTCAATTTTCGCCCCTAAGACATGACAGCATGCTGATGTCAAGGGAGAAATAAATGTTCTTTGCATCATGTTATGTCTTGGTTTCCAAAAATTTTCCAGAAAGTAGCCTCTATTGGTCTTTATATGTAAATACTTTTGAAGATAATAGATTTGTTTCATATGTCTTCCTAGACAGACAAGTCTTCATATCCTAGACATATGCGTGGGTTATCAAGCTCAGAAATATAATTCATGCCTAATTGTGACCTCTGTGATCTGGATTGAACTAATCCAAAATCTAGCCTTTTTTTCCTTTCATAAACTAATGACAATCTTTTGTATGTCTTGAGTCAAGCGTTGCAACAGAAATCCAACTTCATTTTTTAGTTGGGTCTCCCAAATTATCTTGAACAAAAACCTTATAAATAAGAGTTTAGAAACAAATGACATGAGATAAAAAATAGTTTCATGTTTTGGAAACCAAAATTTTCTGTGCTTCTCACATTTCTTTAATTTAAGCATTAGTTAACATATCAGAAGAAGAATTGTTTGCTTCACTATCGTCAAACTTCATACAGGACCACAAAATACAATGAATGTTTAAATTTTAAACACATTACAATAACAGATAAACTCCTATTAACTTCCTCTTCAAAATACTTCCCTTGGCTTTGAACACATACATTTATTTCATTATTGTTACCATTTTCTGATGCATTTCTGGGAATCCTCTTTTTTATGAGTGTCTTTGGTTGTATTGTTGTGGCTGCCTTGATGTCCTGAATCAATTCAAAGTGCTTCAGCAACTTCTTCCAAATGAAAACATTATGATGCGTCTTTATCCATGTTACTGAGGAACTCTGGCTCCGTGTGACTTCTGGGTCTTCCTTAACGTCACAATGACCATGGAGGCAAACATTTTGAACCGTTAATGTGTCACTAATGTTGCTATGTCCTCTTTGTGTGGATATGTCCCTACAACTTACCCTTCAATGGAGAACTGACTCTAAGGTTATCTTCAAATTTCCTATGAAATTATCAATTTTTGTATTTGTGGATGAGGGTTGAAATTGGAAACTAGAATTGTATTTTCCATGCTCAGTGAAAATCCTTAGGAAGACATCTCATGTTACTCTTTCTTGAAGTTTTAGAGTGATTAAATATTTATCAATATAACATTGTATCTCACCTCTAGCCTCTCCAGAGCTTGTTTCCAGCTCACGCCTGGTGACTCGACCTCATCTAACCATGAACATATTTTGTGTCTTATGCTTTCAAACAACCCAGAACTGGTTTTCACATACATATTTTGATTTTAAAAATTTGATCTGGGAGTATCAAATGGAACGGAACTGTATCCTGAATACACTGAAAGTGTGTTTCTTGATCTCCCCAAGCTCAGAGGATCTGATACACAAAGTCACAAAGAGGAATGCTAGTTGGCTAGTGTGGTTGTCCCTGAATGGGCAGGGTGAGGTAAAGTCTGCAAGGGCTGGGAACACAGCAATGTGGGACATCTGTAACTACAGGAAGAAGCTGGTGCTGCCTGGTAAAGGGGTGTTGCTGAGTGATGCTCACAGGAACTACAAACAGACAGAAAGCAAATGGGAAAGAGCAAGTTGCCCTCTAGCATTTCCTGTTAGCAGAGCTGGGAGGCTGCCAAGTGGCACGGGGTTTGCATTTTCTCAGTTTTAGTATCACAAGTCAGCTTACTAAAGGTTGGATTTGATGTTGGGAGACAATGCCTCATTGTCTGTTTGCCTCTTGGAGCTTTCTTGGATCCTTCATGACTTTATGAGGCTCAAACTTGGAAAGGGAGTTTCATATTGTCTTCTAGGAGGCAGGACAGCGTCCTACAAATATCCAAGATTCTTAGTGTTATTTCCTTAAAGGGATACTTATATCCCATAGGAAATAGGCTAAAATTTTATTATTGCATGTAGAAAATTCTCCAGTTTTCATGGCACTAGTATCAGGACCTACAACAGAGAAGCAAATATGAAATCTTTCTCCAGAGAAAAACATGTAGATATAATTTTATCTCCAGACTTTATTAAATATAAAATATTTTGTTCCATGTTGAGTGTTTCTGCTTCCCAAAACCATAACTATATCTCTCTAAATTTCAACTTCTGGAAAGAGAGTTTTTTTTAATATGATAAGTCTTTTGGAGGAAGATCATGAAGTTATGTTATGTGAAATGTGTGGTCTCCACTTCCCAATTCTTAGGACTGGAGACTGGCTTTTACAGTTATAGCTTAGGAGCAAATTCAGTGAAACTAGGATTAGGCAAAATTCAACATTTTGCAACTTCTTTTGTGTTTCTTATTTTTTCATGATTTTCCCCAAGTATTTCAAACCTTGTCACTTACAGAAGGCTAGATATAAAAAACAAGACCCTTGGTTTCAAGTAAAGATCTTATTCAATGTTATTCATAAGTATTTATACTTGTGCTTAGTGACAGTGGATTGCAGAGTCATGAGACATCAGGAGAAAGGACTACTTTTTACATTTTCCTGCAAATCTTCAGAACTGCCTGAGAAGGGTCATCATAGGTGAATTCTTGGCATGAAAGACTAGTTTGTGAATAATTAAAAGACAATCTATTCCCAAGTTTTCTATTGCATAACTTGAGACAATTACTTTGTCTGCATGACCATCAGTCATTAAGATTTCAGTCCTTTGTCTCCCTGTCATGGTTTATGTCTGTGGCCC